TACACTATATGCATGTCATGCCTGACAATATAGGAACGAGCTCACTAACAAGTATTAATTGCTTTATTTGTATTCAGTTTACGTTATATAATTTATTGTCCAATTTTGCACGTCTGAAATAATGATAAACTGATGATATAGCCAACTACCGAAAACACGTATAACCATCCATACCGTATAAGACTTTATAAATGTTCAATATGTAATGTTGTTTCTTTGCTGTAAATAAAGTTTGTTATCGATCTATCTACAAGTAGATGAGCATGCATAAGATGTGCACCTGCCTTTTCGGGTTCCAACATCGTACTGAACTCCCGTTGGGCAGAGAAGTTGATTTCACAAATTGTCTGGTGAGAGCCGAGCCAAGAAAATTCTTTACACGGCATTAACTAAGTTTAGAGACAACCAGGCAACTCAGTTGAATCAAATAAAACCACCTCGGTTGAAACTATCCAAGCCAAAGGGCGTCATGTTTCTTTGGAGATATGATCTAGCCGCCCCTGTTTTAAGGTACTGTTAAAAATAAATTCGTAATGCCTTTTTATTAAATTCGTTATAAAATCTATTTAAAAAAAAATATTTTGTCCTTGCTTGAAATATGACTTTAATTAGTTATACAACTCTTCGCAGCGGATAAATATTAAACCTTTTCGCTATGGCCGTGGTTTTACTTATCAGAAAATTCTATAAAGCTGTGATAGAAAAGAAAATTAACTGATATCCCTACTTTACAAAGAAAATTGACTTGTTATTACCATAGAGCAGGTGTTCAATAATTTATTTTTAAAAATGCTATTATTTTCATACAGTGGAGCATTACATTAAAAACCCGTTGCATGTCACGGGCGAAAGTTAAGAACCACGTTAGAATCCTTTTTTAATAAATTATTATCTTAGAATTTCAAGAGTTATGTCGGGATTCGAACTCAGAACTTCTAACGTAACAACTCACTGTTTTCCGCATAACTTTATAAAGATAATAAATTCAAAAATATAGAACTGACTAAATTTTTCAGCTTGTTAATTTGATATTTTACGTTTTGATTTGATTTTCAAGTAGACAAATTGAAACTTTTGAAAAGACGAGAAATTGGCGGGCAGATATCAAAAGCAAATAACAGACTCAATTTCCAGTCTTGAAATCTTTCATTACTTGGGGTAAAATAAAATTTCAAAAAAATTACACGAATTGAAACGTGAAATAACATTTTTTATGTGAAAAGATTCCTGACCAGAATCCGATACTACCGTACATAAGGCAGTTCATTGGGTGCTTCCTGGAAAAAAATGAGGTTGGATTTTATTTATGATGTAGAGACCCGGTTATTTCCCAAGAGCTTATATTCATATAGTCTGGTTTCATATTTAATGCGTCGGATTTGAAAGCGGGTGGTCGCGGATTTTCAAAATTTCCTTGTCTGGCTTAAAACAAGTTGAAGCTTGCGGTTAAAATAAAAGCTTTCCGGCTAGGCCGTAAGTGGGGGTGGGGCCTGGGCTTTTCTTCCTCACAAAGGTTTTGCCACCTTCAAGAATTCAACCGGCTATGCAGGAATTAACCGGGCTTTTCTAAAGGAAACGCTGTAACGTCAAGCTTTATTTACTTTAAAAATCTGTTATTTTATGTATTTGTCTAGCAAACCGAAATGAAGGTAACATACAATTTAAACTTAAAAACTTCTACACATTTAATAATAATGTATGTTGAAATTGTAACAAGTGAACAACATTACCAATTTATAACTTTCACATATTGAAATTAAAACACTGTGTATTTATTGTTACGATCAATACACAGACCTTTTGTTATAAAAAGTTGGCCCATAAGAACTTTTAAAGCAGAGAAAATATTGAAATTAAATAGCAATATTGTGTAAACTAGACGTCGTAAACTTGATCAGCAAGTTCTTATGGTCCTTTCAAAAATTGTAATTATACCTAGCGATTCTGCCGTGCTGAATAAAAAAAATACTAAAATAGCACAATCAAGGGAATAAAGTCCACCACAGAGTTTGGCAGATCTTTTCCAAAGAGTGATAAAAACACGAACTTAGTAACAATTGGGAATATATAGAATTCACGAAAAAGTTAACTTAAACCACACGTTCAGAAAGAAAGATAGGCCAAATATCTGATTTTCAACCTTAATAATTACAAGTATGCATTCAGAATTTTTTTACAATCAAAACTAAAGGTAATTTTCTTAAACTTTCAATTATGGATATGCATATTGATATCTAGGGATTTTATTTTAAATAATAGCACAGAGATCAACACAGAGTGAATAGCCAGACAAAACATTCGACAAGGACATAATTACCATTTTGTTCTATTTTTCTATTAATTCTAGTGCTCTCGAACATTACCATGTAGGATATTTACATTAGGATGATCGGTTGACAAAATTGTAATAAAAATATTGAATTTGTCATTTTTATGTGAGGTTATTCGGAGATCGTGAGAAGCCGTCTGGTGTGACGTTTTAGAAAAACATTTTCTTTATCGTGCCAACGTTTCGATCTTTATTATCTTTATTGAGATCATCTTCAGGGCACAAAGTGTTTTTTTTCTGCGTAATTGTGTCATTGTTGAGTGTCGTGTTGAGAGTGCACGCCACACCAGACCGCATCTCACGATCTCCGAATAATCATTGACTAACGGTCACTAAACACGACACATTTATGTAAGGTATTGGTTGAAATGAAAAGTCAGTGTAACGAGCGGGATTCGAACCCACGTCCTTCGGCTTAATACGCCTCTGCTCTAACAACTAAATCTATCGTGAGTTCGATCCAATCGGACCCACCTCCCCCATCTGAACCTATTGTACATTTAGAATTTTCCCTCCTTTTTTCCCATTTTTCAAATGTCGTGTAATCAGGAACCGATACTCGAATTTAAGTAACAAACAACCGCAAAACAGCCAAAATGTCACAGAACTTTGTTTTTAATATTAATACAATATATTTTAATATATTAATTAATTAATATACATACTAATATTAATTTTATTTTTCATCTAGGTTAGAAATTTAAATTTAATTTAATTTAAAAAATACTCTTGGTGGTTGGTGGATGTTTACGGCCAATGTGGAGGATATTTTATTTCACGCCGACGATTCCAGGATATATTTCATATTATTCAAAGCAGAAAAGCTAAGCTAAATAATGCAAACTTTCAATTAGACATGCAAGCTGTTCAACAAGTCAAATCCAAAATTTATCTTATTTTTAAAACATAATAAAATCACACTACGTGGTTGTTTTAACCGTATAAAAAAGTAAAAAACGACAAATTAGAATTGAAGCTTTTATCTATCGTTTCTGCTATCTAAGAACGAGAAAGATTGATAAAAATTTATAACGAAGTAATGTAAGCCATCTAAACTTCCTCTTCTTAACAAACATTTATCATCAGAATCGCATTTTTATTATATATTTTAAAAATCAAACAAAAACGCTCGAATAATAACGATACCCCGTACAATACAATTGGAATAAAAGAGCTAAATTTTTATTCCCTTAAAATCATTTTAATATCTGACTTTTTTCGTTTCAACCAATTAATTGCCCCTGTTTTCATATCTATAGGTTTTCCGCAAGGCTGTATTTTAAAAACACACCTATGGTGAATTTTTGTTTATCTCCACACCCTGCTTATGAAATTTAGTCACCGTCCATTCAGAAACAACCGAAACCTGTGAGATTTAAAAAAAAAATCCGCCCTTGTTTTCGTTGCCAAACCTTTCCCGATAAGAACACACTGTGGTCGGTAAGTTTTTTTTTCTTCCATATCCGTTTTTATACTCTGACCATCCATGTAAATATGCACAATTTGATTTGTTGACAGTTTAAACCAGTTTTCAGTATTGGTTTTTTGCTTCATAGCTTTGCAGATAAAATTGTGTTTAAAAAAAAAATCTTTGGTGATTACGTGCTTTTATTCCCACCTTTGTCAGTATCAAACAATCTTCAATCCCAGTTTCCGTTGCCTCAGCTTTCCTTTCTTAAGGGTTAATCACTTTTCTACTCATGAATACTCTGGATCACGGTATGGTCTTGATAATAAAGCAAATTCATTTGTTTTTGCTAAGCTTTCGACAAATTTTAAGGTGCCATCGGGCAAAACTACTTAAATATATCCTGAGATTGACATAATTATGTTTTTCACAGACGATTTCAAATTTCTTAGTAGATCGACTCATTCCCAATATTTCCAAAGACTGTAACAGTTTCTGTATAGCCTTAACTATAAGACTGTATTTAAGAACAAATCCGCATTAGGTTTGACTCTGTCTCCTCACCCTGCTTATACACTGATCAATCATTAAGATGTGCACAGTAACAAAATTTGTCAGCTTCTATGATCGATTTATGCCTGACTTCTCACGCAGCTGAGGTAACGCTGACCAAACATTACTGTAGATACGATTGGAAACTTTGTCAGTTTCAACTGACTTCATTCTCGATTTCAGTTGCTTTAGTTTTTCCGATCAGATTTAGGTACAGCGTTACAGGGTTTGCTTCACTGCTTCAACACGCTTATATCCCTGACCTATCAATCAAGTTAACATAGTTCATCCACTATTTGAAATTATTTATGGTATTAATTGTGTTGAATATGTTATTTTACTTTTAAGTTTTGCCTCAATTTTTTAAATTAACAGGCAAATTTTTTGTAGAAAGGATGAATGATGGAATGAGTGTGGTGTTCAATCCTTTTTAAAAAAATAGTTCCTACTCACAGTGGGTTGTTTTGCAACCGGATTTCGGACCCTTTAGATCATCATCAGTTTGAAGGACTTCTACAACTACGTCTCTCGACATGAATTGCAAAAGTTCACTAGCGACGTGGTTATAGAAATTTTTTGTGTGTGCAATATTAACACTTTTATTCTTCATTATGAAATATATTCTTTGGATTATCTTAAAAACAATAAACTATTTTCATTTCAAGTTATTCGTTTGTAAATGATTGTCGATTTTTAAAATTTATGATTCAGGTTGCGCTGTTATCGAAGACGCGGGCGACAGTCCAGAATCGGCCAAAGGCGGGCATCTCGTAAGGGCTAGCTACCTCCAAAACCCGCCGACCGACCCGGCCCAGGGCTGCCTTCAAGAAATCGTGACGACCCGAGTCTGCCTGGAGCTGGGACTCCTCCAGGACAACGTGCACGCGCCGACTGTCATGGTCTGCAACGTGGACATCGAGCCGAGCACAAGGCTGATCCCGCTCCAAGACGGACAGGAGTTCCCAAAAGAACAGGGGGAAAACAAGGACGTCCTCAACAGGATCTCTCACGATCTCGACTATTTGCTCAACTCGACGGATTCGGTCCAAGAGGACGAAACTCAAACTTCACTTTAAAAAACACGATATACCTATTTGTGATATTAGATTTGTAACCTTTTTCGCTGTTTGTAAATAATTAAAGTTTTACCATATTTGTCATCATCGTTAACCTCTTTGAACATCCATTTTAATTTTTTTAAACGAGGGTTCGCAACAGCAGATGTCATATCAACCCTCAGGGTGCCGGTGTTTTCGAAAAAAAGCCCATTTATAAGTATATCGAGTTCAAATGCAGAGCCGCTGGATTCGAACCCCGGACCTTCACAGTGATGATTGACGAGTCAACGCCTAAACCGTTGCGGCCATCGACGCCTCTTTAATATTAATCATTGGAAAGCACGTTGCATATTCAATCAATGGTTTGTTTAATCATCTCATTGGTCAGTTCAAAGCATTAAAAAACTTAAGAGATGGTATAAAATGTAAGCATGTAAAGCCAAATTTCTGTATATTTGAGAATTTTGTTTTAATACAAAATAATTTGGCTAATAGAAGACTATATGAAGTTTAATGGCAATTAAAACAAAAAAATTTAAAAGTTATCCATAACAAATGCTTCTTCTTTTAATTTTATTTTATTTTAATATAAAATAATTGGGCTTCTGAAAACCACATAAAAGTTGACATTATTTAAAATAGAGGATTTTTTTTTTTTTTTTTTTTGAAAACCACATAAAAGTTGACATTATTTAAAATAGAGGATTTTTTTTTTTTTTTTTTCATGTAAATGTATTGGAATTTTAAAAAACTATGTAATAATTAATTAAGATGCTATAAATAAAAGATAAAACTAAAGGATTATTCTTTTAATTTAAGGTAGGTGGGAAATTAAGGTTTTTATGTGCACAATTAATTTATATTTTAGATTATAAAAACATCTCAAATTAAAAGAAGAATAAATTTTTGTAGACTTAATTTTATATACTTTTGATTTTAATATCATTTTTTAAAAACCTAATTATTTATTATTTGATGTTGAATTTTACTTTACATGCTAATATTTCATTCTATTGCTTACTTTTTTTTATATTTTGAAGAAAGAGTTAATTTAAAATTAAAAGGGCTAATTTGATGTTAAAAAGAGTTAATTGGAAGTTAAAATGGTGAACGTGAAGATTAAAAATGGTTAATTTGATTTTTTAAAGGGCTAATTTAAAAAATAAATAAAACGATAGCATGGATAGAAAGTATTTATCGTCATGTATATGTAAAGTGCCAGTGGCATTGGAGGATTCAGCATTGAAGAATGTGAAACGCCGAAAAGCGCCTTACAGACCAATATAGAGGGGATAGAGAGACCAAAATGATCAATAAGGACCAAATAACAATTTTTTCCGTTTTTCTATTTTTTCCTTAAAATCCACTGTTCGTAGCAAAGTTCTCCGTGGTTGAAATATTTTATTCAATTTTGTCTATTATATTTCGGGTCTACGGCCCATCATCAGAACCTGGACTATGCCATACATACATATATATTTCCATCCTTTCAAAAGAAAAAAAACCATAATCTATTATGTGAACAAGATAACTAACTTTAACCTTACATTAAAAAACAATAAAAAAAATACAGTGTAATAATAGAAAAGAAATGAGATCTCGTCTAACAATGTTTCTAATATTACAATATTGTCACCATTTACTCCTGTACCGGACAGGATACAAACTCCACTACCCCTTTTTGTGTCGATCGTCCCCCTTTCCTCAACTGCTGTTCGTTTTATTTTTGCCGACGATCCTCACAAATTCACCCTCTGTTAAAAGGAGTGGTCCTACAACATTACAATCATCCTCCGTAACAATTCTAGGAAGCAATAATCAGTGATAGTGCGCTGTAAAAGTACCATTTTACACAGAAAATGGCCAAGAAACGCTCAATTGAGCGATCCATACAATACCTCAAATAAAACCAGTATTTCGTCTGCAGCTTGCTGTCGAATTAGATGTTCTACCTTACCAGGCTTTACCTACCTTGCAGCCTGTCCATGCATGAACCTGTGAAGATGATCTTACTTAATTCTAGTTGAAAGATAAACAGAGTTCATTAGTCTAGGTTACGGTAGGAATAAATTGAATTCGGTATAGTTCTCAATTTTTCCACGATTTTCTCGCGACCAAGCCGTTGAGAATCACTTAATGTATTTTTACTCCTGGCTGTAGAAGACATGATCTTTAAACAGGTGAGGACTTCTCAATTATTGAGTTTTGTTGTATAAAAAATGTGTGTGTTTTAATCAATTATGTTATACATTACTAAAAAAATCATACAGTTAAAGCCAAACTAATCCAGTGGTATAATTGTTATTTCCATCATTTGTTTGTATAATGTTTACGTAAAAATATCAATTTGAAAGTTATATAATGAGCAATATCCTAGATAAACGCCTGCTTAAGCACATTCTCTCCATTCTTCATTCCTGTCTTCATCCCTGAACATATGTGTTCGGACGTTCTCATCCCACTGTTCAGCAGTGCTATCGCGTTGTTGATCATCAATCTTGTGCAAAAGGAGTGCGGCTCCGGTGTATTGCTAGAAGTCAAGCAAGTCTTACATCCGATATGGTACTGGGGCTGCTCTGGAAGCTTAACACAGTCCTCCCTTTTACCTACTTCCTGATGCATAAATCCTACCTAGCCGACAGATACTTTCAAATTATCAGTGGCATAAACACAGATTCAGGGGTACCAAAAGAAAGTATCTTATGGCTCATCGACTACACAGTATACATTGCAGATATTCCTTCCGATTATCATCATGTATGGGTTTGATTTGCCATCCTTTGCTTTCATAAAGGCCCTGCCATCTCATCCGAAAATTGGTCACATCCATTGAGCAGTGGTTCAACGAAGGAAGATGACAATAAACATACAAAAAGTGGACATGGCACTTTCAACCTTTGGAGAATAATCCATGCTCCCATCTACACTAGTATGCCTCTCTTACCAGCAAATGTAGTCTGCCAAACGACTTAAATGGAACCCGCACACACGTCTCCAAAAACAATAACTAAACATACGCGTCAGATTTATTAAAAAATATCAAAACTATTTAGTATTATTTGAAGATCGTGAGATGCGGTCTGGTGTGACGTAGGTTTAGAAAAACATTTTCTTTATCGTGCCAACGCTTCAATCTTTATTGAGATCATCTTCAAGGCCTGGGATTTATAAACATTGTTTCAATTATACAAATACATGTAGGATGTGAAAAAATGGATGATCCTTCAATGCTTTTGCTTGCAAAAAGCCACTACAAGAACTTTCTCAATCAATTATCCAATCACACAAATCTTCATGTCACGTAGCTTCAAAGTAATTTTCCCCGATGGCTGAAGCATCATTGAACTCTCCACCTCCTAAGTTAACCGTGAAAGTTATTAACACTAATAGGAGTGACAACTAATCAGTATTTCGTATCTTTTCTAATTTATGTTTATTTTTATACAAATTTCCTGCTCATTTTGTAATGTTTTGTGTACTAAGTTGCGGCCAAATTTATTTAAGCATAGTAATTGGCGAAGGTGTAAATAAACAAATTAAAAAGAATACTTTTTATGTAAGGTTTAGTTTGAAATGAAAAAGCTAGCGTCATGAGCGCGATTCGAACCCAAGACGGCTTCGAATAGGGGTATGTGGGTGGCCGTACGAGGCGCTAGCTTTTTCACTGCAACCTGTGATGATCGTTCGGAAGAAAGGAATCTGCACTGTGGAAGAGAGGGGACGATCATCGCAAACACATTGGAAAAAGAGTAGATAAGCGGCAATCCGGAAAGGACTGCGCTTGCAGAAAGACGTCTTTAGTTTTACAGTTTTGTGCCATAGTGAAAGATTTAAGGTACTTTATATCTTTCGATTCATTTCGGTTAATTTTATATTTTGTTTAAAGTTTTATCTCTGAACATTGCCTGGTAAAAGATTACTGTTGTGCTAAAAAATTTCTCCAATATTGTTAATTTTTCGTTTGTTTCATGCCAAGTAGTGGCCTTTTTTTTAAATATATTATTTAGTTTATGTTATATTTAGTTTTTTTTATTGTATAAGATTCACCATCACAAACCAAAACCTTACATAAAAGATTAATTAATTGTAAGAAGTAATTTGGTCAATCAGAACACTAAATATAAAAGATTAAAAAAACGTTACACCGGATATTAGTGATGTTCGCGCAATGCAACAAAATGCAAAACACTGTTGGTCTCTCGTAATAATGGAAAACTTATTAAAAGCAGCCCGATATGATTTTATAGCTTTCTTTTTGTTAAATTAGACGTGTTAATGAAGTAATGGTAATGATACATATGAGAAAGGATCTATGATTTTATGATTACTTCAATTTTGGCAATGTTAGGCGAAGTTTAATCTTTGGACGAAAATCACTTCTAACGAGCCGGGCAGTCAGGCACCAGAGACAATCAATTCTTGCCAATGAAATTAGGGATAAAGCGAGCTACACCAGTATCCATTGACTTGTACATCGTTGATTTCCCTCTGTTTTTGCCCCATCTAACTTTCTCAGAACTTGTTCATTAACGATAACCTGGACATAAAAATAAATAGATTTAAGGTTAACAACTACAACCAACAGAGTTCACCTTAAAAATTGGCGTTCTTGTACCGCATTCGAACAATAATCTGGTTCAAACCCAAACAGCCGTCTAACTTGGGTTAAAAGGGATTAGAGCTGAATGACGTCAATTTGATAATAATATAACATATTTAGTGTTAAAGGCGTGTTCTCCAAACAAAAAAATTTATCAACTTTTGATTTGAAAACCATTGCTTTTTTTTTTTTTTTTAAATACCACGCACTTTACCTCGCCTAATACGTAAACTCAGGAAGTCATTAGACCATGAGGTTCATAAAATCATAAATTGTGGGCTAAGAACCTTAATTTTTCCATAGCATCATTAATTTCCTTGACAATAGATTTAAAGCATTTGTATTATATAAAAGGAAATAATGATTACAGTAAAATTCTATGAAGTTTAGCAAAACTTTTCATTACAATTATCATAAATGTGAACAACCTGCATGCCAAAAATGCTACGTAGCACTGGCACCATCAACATCCTAGGCAAAAGGTCGTGATTTTGTAACAATAAACCCGACTTATGATA